GTACACTTTAAGTAGATCTTTGTCTATACACTTAGTGTACTAAGTATATTTGAAGTTGTTCCATTTTAGTATTTAAAAGTATACTTAATACACTTAAAACTGTGCTTTTGTACAACTAAAATATATTTAGTATTAAATTAGTTGTTTCAAAATAGCACTCTTTAAGTGTATTAATGATTAGTGTGGCTTCAAGTATACAGTACTAAAATATACTTAGATTTATTATACTTAGTATAAAAATTTTTCACCTGGGACTGTTACCCAAGAAGTGTTTTCTTTAGGCTGTTAAATGTGGCCATATAATATGGCCCCAGGCCACCAAAAAAGTAATCAGATTGGTTTTGTGTTCTTATAGGTTCCACATCTGTATTTATGACAGTTTGTGACAGCCAAAATGTAGAAATTGAAAGCTGAGTTTGAGCTTGAGTTACTTCAATGAAAAACTGCTTCTTTTATTTTCAGGTTCAGTTTGTCCTTTTTTTTTTTTACCAAATCAAGAAAAGTGAATTTTGGATTTATGTGATAGAAAACTATGTCCTGCTGTCGTGTACCATTCTCTCATTTTCCTGTCTCTGTCTCTATTTTAGTCTGTTTCAGTCCCAGCCACATAATGACAGACCTGCTGTATATTAAAGGACCCTGCCCATGCAGCCACCTCCCTCTTCATACGACTTTAAAACCCTTACATTCAGGGGACGGGCACCACTTTCCAAAGACAGACTAAACATCTTGATGCCCCTAAAAGTTTCTCACAACTAAAGATCTTTCTTCATTACAATCACCATGGATAACCATTCGTACAACTTCCCCTCTGACTGCACCCCACTCACCAACTGCAAGTCAGGCCGCAAGCTGGCTGGATCCACTGTGGTGAACATGGGCAATGCAGAAAAGAATCCTCCTCGGGACTATCTGCTCTGGTCGCTGTGCAACACCTTCTACGTTAACTTCTGCTGCCTAGGTTTCATGGCACTCATCTACTCTATCAAGGTGAGTCAATATGCTTTTAAATTGGAAAAACAGAGAGTTTTTGCTTTAATCCAAATATAAAAGCTTTGATGCATCAAGTTTACAGGAGAATACAGACAACTTTATAATCAAGTTTTTGTTTACCAATTTGAGTTGCCTGTATTTAAACACTGATTATGGTATCCTGATGCATCTCAGTTATCCAGGTAGAAAAAAAATCAAGTAGGTCCTCTGAACAGGTTCTTAGTATGAGGAGTCTCAGGTAAACTACATGGTGGACAACAGGTTTAACAATGACAATCACAAACACTGTGCACATGCAAAAGTGGACCCTGAGCCTAACAATAGATCCTTAGTGCTCTGATGATGAACAATAGCGATAGTCAGGTTAATTAAAGAACATGTCCAGAAGACCTACTTAAATGGTTTTTGACTGTTTATGGGAAATTTTTAAAACCTGTTTCAAATGGTATGTTTTTTGTAATTAAGAGTCCAAAGTAACTAGCTGTGATAAGATATATGCGTTGAAAGAGGCGATATAAAACACAACAAAAGTAGGATGGAACAATTTTAAAATAAAAGATACAGAACAGAAACAACTTTACAGGTCAAATATATTTGAGGATGAATAATTGATTGATGATGCCGTTATTGTCATTGTACGGAGCACAATGAAATTACATTTAGGAACACCCATTCAAGAAGACAGACACACATATATGTCAACCTCTTCGGACATTTGCCTGTATAAAAAGCCTAAAAAATCTGTAAATTTTGCAAAAAAATAAAACGTACGGACATGAAAGCGCCTGCTGCAAAGCAGGAAGACAACTTTTAAAACAAATGGTGTAATACCACATATGCCACTTTCAGAAAGCATAAATAAATGATGGTAAAAACATCTACAAGAACGATTTTGCCCTTACTTCTTTGCCAACCTTTAGCAACAGACTACAGGCATAAAAATGAATTATTGTGAATGCCCAAAGCGTTTGGTGACCTGGGGAGAATTGGTATTGTCCTCAATCAGACAGCAACATGTTTGAAACGTGGCATGTCCTGCACCACAGGAATGGTGCTGGTTTACTGACAAAAAACAACTAAAACATGAAAATTCCAAGTAGAGAGAAGAGCTTAAACACTGAATAAAATTGAGTGAGTAAAATTGGTCCTAATAATTTCACTGCAAATAGATATTAGTTACCTTCATTTTTTGCCTGCAAAGGTCCTGAATCACAGACCCACCATTGCCTCAGAGCTCAAATTAGTCAGTGGCTCACTCTGTGGGGAGTTAAAAATGGCGTAATTGGCAGCCTCTTAATGGGCAAGTACTCTCAAGAAATTAGAGAGTGCTTGAGAAAGAAAAACGTAGCAAAATTTTGCAGATACATTTAGTGAGGGTTCTTTTAATTCATTTAGCTTTGGTACAGCTTGAGTTATAACTCAGACAAGCTGTATTGTAAAGTTAAATTAAAGATCATCTTTTGTCTTTACCATCTTCCTCTCCTTCGGCTGTGATCTCTCTTCCTCCTGCTGTAAACACAAAGTTTGAAACATTGACAAAATCAAGTAATTCTTTGTTTTTCCATTTTTTAATTAATTAATGTTTTAATTAATTTTTGTGTGTGTGTTTGAATGTCATGATTTGTTTGTTTGTTTTTGTAGGCCAGGGATCAGAAGACTCTTGGCAACCTGCAGATGGCCCAGGAGTGCTCAGACAAGGCCAAGTGGTACAACATCCTGGCAGCCGGCTGGAATCTGCTGATTCCTCTCCTGCTCATCGCCCTGTTTGTCCTTCTACTTGTCCACCTTGGCTCTTCCCAGGGCTCCTTCGACTTCTTAGGAGAAGATGGGTTGCAAAACTTCCTGAATCTGTTCAGCTGGTAGATGAAGGCAAAAAAAACTGGAAGGGGGAAGAAGTATGTCTCAAATTGAACCTGTTCACACTAACAGACAGGAGACATTTGATCTGGTTCAGAAGATGATGGCAGACATAAAAATTTAGTGTTTTAGGAAGTACTTAATATCTCTTTAGAAATTTAGTAAAACTTGTGCTTGGTTTAAATTTGTCAAACTCTGCCTAGTGTTAAACTTGGCAGAGTTTGATCAATTTAAACCAAGCACAAGTTTTGGTCAAATTGGTCAAAAAAAAAAAAAAAAAAAACGTCCTCTTAAAAATTCACTGCCAAACAGACAAGTACATATAACCGATGCACAAAGTCAGTCAGTTTCTCTGGTCTTAAAACCAAAACTAAACAATTTATTTTGTTCATTAAAAGCTGAATTACAGACTTTTTTCTTAATAGAAACTCTGGCTTGAGTTACAGGAAAAGGGACAGATGATACAAATTTTACAACCAATGACTGAGTTCCATTTTGTTCCTGTTAAGACTTAAAGAAACAAGAAACCTCATAAAAAATATATGGAATGCTGATGAGTAAAACTGTCTGCAGAGTAGTTTAGATGTTTTGAAAAAGGGTTTTGTAAAAATTTTATGAAAAATTTATATCTTATCTCTTTTAATAACCTGAGGCCTACTGCATGAAACTAGGATAAGGGATTAACCCGGGATTCTGGTGTAAACCTGAATTAATTAAGCCTTGAATCGGTTGCATGAACTACGAAGCCCGCTCTGGAGCCCTACTTGCTCTCCCCCCCTCCCTCAGCGCTTCAGCTTCTAACCCCTCCCAATCCCCCTTCCTGTCCCTCGTCTTTTTTTACAGCAATCATTTTAAGTGAACAATCAGCTGTTCATTTCAATTTTGTTCATTTAGTTAATTTCAGATAACTTACAGACAGATTCAGTGACACAAAAGTTTTTTTTAATTATTTCAGCATTCAGTCACAGTGTTTCTCTTCATCTCTTCAAATGAATCATAATTAACCATTAAACTGCTGGAAGAAGTGAGACTCACGTGTCTTACTGCGCATGTCTGATCAGGAAATCTTTGATCCACCCAGTGGGTCTAGTAAGCAAACCGTGAACGTGCATTACTCCCAGATAATTTACACCTGACTTGAATGAACCACCCTAATTGAGCGTGGCTTGGTGTTCGTGCAACTGATTACAGCTGTTTACAAGTTGAAGGCTAGTTCAAGCTCGGTTTACAGCTCATATCCTGAATTTAGAAATCGGACTTTTGTGCAATAGGCCTCTGGAGGATTAAAGCCCACCATGGTCTGATGAGGTAACAGGCCACGGATTGGTGGCATCTTGAACATTTTAAAACTTTAACTTGAGGTCTGAATCCCTTCTAAAACAATTATATTTGATCATGTTTGATGGAAATAAGCAATAACATCAACTACCATAAAATCTTAAAGACTGAAAGTTTTTACTCAAGATGTAACTTGTTTGTCTTTTTGTTACCTCAACATTTCAGCCAGAATAAAACATTATTTTTCCAGTTACATTTTTCAATGAGCTGTCTGCAAGAAGTAAGGTATTTTGTGTTCATAATGTTTTTACACAACTATCCCTTAAAAATGCATTAAAATGTTTGTTTTCATGCTTAGCTTTAGCAGAATTTGATCAGTTTAAATGTGAAGTATAAACTTAATGTTTAAATATTCTGAAAAGAAAAATATAAAGATGAATAAAACTGATAAAGACTGCATTTTTTATAGGCTTAGCTTTTTTGTAACACTTTGATTTTGTATTATTTATTGTATTTGTATTTTATGTCTGGTCAGTTACAAACAGAAAAAAATTGTAGATGTGTGGAAACAAAAATCTGAAGACCACAATGAAGAGAAGCCACTTTAAAAAACATTTTATTTCTTTTTGTCTTTTAATAACTTTCCAATGTTAGTTTTCATCTATTTTTCTTTATTGGTGTGTTTTTTCTATGTTTTAAGCATTTGGACTAGATTTTGTTTTGATGACACATGAACAAAATAAACTTGACTCTATTGATACAGTATGTCACTGAAAAAGCCTAAATTTTCTTCTTTACAAAAAGATTTAGCTTACCTTAAAATAAATTATTACTGTTTGGGTATTTTGAATCTCCTGACTTTTAAACGTGAGGGTGTATAATTTGTTCATAATGTTGCAGTTCTGCTGCTCCACCTGCGTCCAGCAATAAAAGTGTTTACTTTGGGTTTTATAGGTTGACTCTGGGGTGGGTCTGATGGAGCGGGCAGGTCGTGGTTATTTTAATCCAAGCTGTAAACCCAGCCAGCTATATAAATAATATCCAATTTTGAGAACCTGTGTAAATATGCCCTTCAGAAGTGAGGCAGGGCTGCCCAGGCAGCCTACTACAAAGGAGCAAAGCTGCAAGAACATGGCCTCAACCTGCTCCATCTGCTCTCAGTTCATGAAGATTGTACCTGCTGGATGTTTACCAACATGTGTATGTCGTTTCTGAAGCCATGACACTTTTTTATATAAATAATTCTGTAAAACCTTTTTCTACAAAACTATTTAGTCCTGATTTGTATTTACAAACCTACAACCCTAAAGTTTACAAACTGAAAAAAATAAAACTGTAGGATTTGACCATGTTCCATGACCATACGTCAACTATCAACTATTTCATGACATATCTTAAATAACTTATGTACATAGTAAAGTTTTAGATATTTTTAGACATCCTTCAGCCTACCACCCTCTGAAAGTCACATTATATTAGTAGCTTCTTCTTTTTCTTTGCTCACAGCCTTATTTAGAGCCACTCAAATCACAGCCCCAAGCTTCCAACTTTCTATTTTCTTACAGTGGTTCCAGTAAAATGCTTGCAGATGTCTGAGGGAAATTATAGGCTTGGGGTTGGTGCTACAGTAGCAGTGGGTGTAAACTTCCTCCAGCTTGTTTTAGGAGTTGCTCACTTTAACAAAACTCTTCAGAAGCAACAGGAAGATTGGCATGAGGGACATATACATTTAGTTATATGTGTGGAAGGTTTAATAAACATTGCAATTTTTTTCTATAAATGTTGCACAAACCTGTCTCCAGCTGTCCTCAGGCCAGAGGCAAGGTACACCATGAGCATGTTCAAAAGTGAACAACCACACACACACACACACACACACTCCTAGGTCACTTTAGGATCTGCATTTAACACAACATGCAACATTTTGGATTGTGGGCAGAGTTCAGATACATAGAAAAACCCACATGAAAGAATAGGTCATCTGAGTGCAACATGAAATGGTGGCTAAAATTTCAAGGTTGTATTTGACAAGGTCCAAAAAAGTTGTGCCAGAGACTTGCTGTGATTGCGAGTGTTTGCTTGTATTGTCATGAGATGCTGTTGACCTATTGCTTGAAGAGAGGACATGGAAAATAGCAGTAAATTCTGTTTCGTGAGTACAGAAATTGGGAGAACAGAGTCAACCAAAAAATACAAGCCAGAATGTTCAGAATTGATCGCAATCTTTATTGTGGCATATTCACCGACAAAAGCTGTAACAAAATTCCATAATGAATGCAAGAAGTTTTAGCATGAGCCTAAAAAACAACAGGTCTTATAAGAAAATGACACAAGAGGTTGGATGCTCACACATTCGTCATAAATTGCTCTCAAAGCTTAGAATAATCACTGAATATGGTCAGAGTTTGGTTATCAATCACAAGAGGAACCAGATAGGTGACAACCATCTAAATAATGTTCAGAGACTGAGATGACAAACACCCAGCCGACAAGAAAGCTTAAGCATAGTGACACTTTTCAGTGTCCTCCAAATCATCAATATTGGTTGAGTCCATCACATGTGACTCAAGCGTGACCTTTGACTTAAACATCATAGGTCCCCCTAAACTCACTGAGAAAGTACTCTACAGTTCCAAAACAGTAAATAAAGCTTCTGATTGTACACAACCAGAACTCAGTCGTTTCCATCGTCCCTGCATTATCTGACAATGATCTAATTATGCTGATCCTGCAATCAGTAAAATCATTATTTTTCTCTCAGACCCTTTTAAGAACAAACTTCTTACATCAGACCTTGAGGAGGACCTTCAAGAGTTAAAAACGCTACAGTTCGTTCCTCAACTTAAAAGGGCATTACAACTTATGTTTCCAACAAAACCACTTCACCTATGTTCGTGGTTCCACATAAACACAAGGGGGTGAAGATGCTGAATGCCCATGATCTTCCTTCTGACAGACAAAAAGGTGTTAAAACAAAATGTGAAATCTTTAAAACAGATCACCTACTGGTTTGAAATAAGTGATAAAATAAACACCATAGTTCCAAATTCAGGAATCATTCGTAAAGATTAACCAGGTTTGGTAACCACTATCGCCTACAAAGATTAGTTGTTAGATTTGACCCTGAGATAGTAGGCCAACAGTGACTATTAACAATCAGCAATCTCATATTTGCGGATGGACGCAAAGAGTTCAAATAAATCCTCCAACATGCAGAACTAGACAATTCACACATGGTAGAACAACTGCAAAAATTCACAATAACCCAATCTGATCTATGCAAAGAGAACAAAATGTTTCCATGGAGGACTATTTACCATGGCTACACCCCTTGGTACACTATTCAATCTATGTGTTTCAGATAGAGCAGAGTTAAGGCACCGGATATAAGCTAGAGAAGCCAAAATTAGGAGTAGGAGACCTTACCTTTTGGCTTGCCTGTCCGTGTTGGTACATCCTACCTTATAGTTGAATTGTATATATTTTACCACATATTACAACCAGTACAAAAGTAGGATTTCTCACAAACACTGAAACAGAAATAATACACAATTTATCGAAACACACACGTTTAATAAATTGTGTGTGTGTGTGTGTGTGTGTGTG